ACATCAGTTCTCCATGAAATGGGCTCCTTAAGGTGTCAGTGTGTTTTTCTGCACTTACTCCAGCCAGAGCTTCTGCAGGGCTTCCAGTTTGGAGACGCTTCCCAGCGCCGCCTCGAACGCGTCCATAGCCTCCGCCACGCTGCCTCGTGCAGACTGCCACAGACTAAGGGAGAGAACCACGTCAGAGCCGGAACTAGAGAACCATCTCACTATCCAAAAACTCACATTCCTAATCTAAACCAACTACAGTGTGACTCAGTGATTCATCTTTGAGTTCAAAGCTGACTCAGTGATTCATCTTAGCGTTTTAGGCCTGTTTAGTATCGTGTCTTTGTGCTTACACAGAGTCACAGAGGTGACTCACCTGTGTACGAGGCTCAGGTAGGGGAGCTGCGTCTGCAGCTGCTGTTGGAGCTCAGGCCGGACACTGGGCGGCGCTCTCTGAAGGTCCTGTGCTGGGAGGCCGAGGAGGTGCCTGCAGACGGAGAGGAACTGGGCAGTAAATGTAACTGAGAATAAAAGACAGTGTAACTGCAGGAACGCACTGCCTGTCAGGGCACTCAGTAAACGAGTGAGTTTAAGATGCTGAGCAGGTCAGTCGCTCTCGGGTTTTCAGGGAGAGAATTTGAGAGTCCAGTGCAGCTCTTACCTCAGTACTGCTACAGGAGGGGGGGCAGCGCTGACCGGCTCACAGAAAGACAACACAAACTTCTCAAAGAGCTCTTCAGCCTCACTGTGCTTCTCCTGTAGAACCAGAGAGACAGTTAAACAGAGAGAGAGAGAGAGAGAGAGAGAGAGAGAGAGAGAGAGAGAGAGAGAGAGAGCGAGAGAGAGAGGCACCACAATGTAGACACAACACGACACAGACACAATACAGAATATCTTAGCACGACATAAACAAAAAACAGCACAACACAGACAACACAGCACAGCTGCACAGAGAGGGGCCCATCAAGGGGGGCTCTGTCTTCTCTGTGCTGTGTTGGGGTGATGCACTCTTACCTGTGTGTGCAGGTGTTTGTACAGGTGGTAGAATATCTGAGCATTCTGAGGACAGAGTGAATGGGCTCGGAGCCAAACGCCCACCGCTTCCTCCACTGCTCCAGACCCCAGGTGCACTTCACTCAGGACCTCCAGCAGGGGGCAGCAGTGAGGACAGTCACTCAGCACACTCTCACACACACCAACCACATCCTGGTGCCTACACACACACACAAACACAAACACACACACTAAACAACACTGTACAGTCAGTCTAGTCAACTTGCTTATACTTGCAATCTGCTTTTCCAAACGATGTTTATCATCAGTGCTGGTAGAAACTGACCAGCTGCGTGTTTCATTATAAAGAGAGTAAAATTAGTCAGTTTAACTGGATTTAATGACAAATGCTGAATAAAAATCACTGTGTTCACAGTTTTTGATAGTATTTTTAAAATGTAGGTTTTTTTCTCTGCTCCAGCTGATCAGACGTCTGAAAACAAATACGGTGACTCGTTGTGTATCATTTGTTTAAGTATCACATTACTATATTTTTGACACATCGCTCAGATCTTTCATATCTGTATGTGCTGTGTTTATTCTGTCTGTTCACATATAAGAGGACAATCCAGACTGCCCCACAGCTGCTAGTGAAACTCAGGCGCCATTTAAAGCCCCTGAGATCTCGTGTGGCTCATTGAGGATCTGAGCACTATGGAGGGTCTGAGGACAGCAGTGAAGAACCAGCAGGGCGGGAGAAGATTCCTTCATAATAAAAGGAGCTGCAGGCTGCTGATGAACTCTACACTGTGAACATCAACCGCTGAAAAAGCTGGACACGCCAAAGAAAACATCTCAAATAAAACATTTCTAAACCAAGTGTTGTGGTGTTGGTGAAACGATGTGATGGTCTGAGTGTGTACAGTGAGGTGCTTCCTAAACAGGGCTGCGTCCAGAAACTCATATTACTGCTCCTGTCCTGCTCCTCCAATCCTACAGCTCCTCTCCTACATTGGAATAACGCAGAGGAACCGAGAGGAGAGGAGAGGAGCAGGGGGAGCAGAAATTGGACAAACGGGACGGCCGACTCCTTTAAACATCACTAAATTTGATGTCGACACCGATGAGCTGAACCACAACGCTCGCATGAAAGCTGCTACACAGAGACGCCTGTTCACCCTTCTGTAATTTTCTACTCCATGTTTTTTTTGTTTGTTTTTTTTTCGCTGTGATTGGTCCAAATCTCCTCTTCGTTTGTTCTGAGACCTCCTCCTGACTGTGATTGGTCCAAATCTCCTCTTCGTTTGTTCTGAGACCTCCTCCTGACTGTGATTGGTCCAAATCTCCTCTTCGTTTGTTCTGAGACCTCCTCCTGACTGTGATTGGTCCTATTCACCACCTCGTTTATGGATTTTAGTGATATAAACAAGTTTATGGGACCTTAATATCAGCCAATATCGTCGACTGATGTATCAGTCGGGCCGTAGCTGTTGCTCCAGTGAGAACAGAGAGTAATATATTCAGTATTCTGTACTGGTTTTGGACACTGAACTAAATTTGTTTCTTCAGTAAACAGCAGTTCAGGACTCAGTGTGTGTTTTACCTGTCGAGCAGCCGCAGCAAGTGGACGAGGTTCGTGTGGAGAGGGAGGCAGGCCAGCGCCCGGTCAGCCAGAGACACCTGATCATCCACACAGCGAGACAGAGCATCTGCAGAAGAGGAACATTTTCTGCTTCTCAGTGCTGAAATTCTACAGCAGTATTCTGTAATGTGACAAACAAAACTGAAGAGAATGACCGAATCCAGTTTAAAGCAGGCAGCGTCAGAGCGAGGCTGACCCGGCTGCAGTGCTCTCACCCTGGAACAGACTGACGAGGTGGTCCGGGTGGGTGTTCAGGTCTTGTTTGGAGCTCCACGGCAGGAGGAAGTGCTCCAGGCTGACGATGCGTGATGGGTTGGAGTTCGCTGGGTCGAACAGGTGAGAGGGCAGCGCTCCGAACTCACACAGGTGGATATAACACAGCCAGGCCAGACTGACATGGGACAGAGTGAGACCCCCGGATACATTCCCCTCTCCCTCTGACAACAGAGCGCTCTGTACAGAGAGAAAAATCACACACTATGATGTTATTACACAGTTATTACATACCATACTCCACCCTCCCCCGACACCAGACCATTCTATACAAAGAAACCACTCAGCACAATGTTATTACGCAGTTATTACACATCATAATGCACATGCTCAAACCATTCTACAGCTCAACTGCTGAACTTCAGTATTTTAGAGTCACAAAACTCTCCATTATTCAGTTAATTTCATTTTACTTTTTTAGAGACTCAGCAAAACAAAATCAAGAAAATAATCAACCAAAAAGATCAAATACTGGACTTTTAAACATAAGCGATAGTGAAGACCCTGATAAACTGTGACTGACTAAGCTGAGTGGTGCAGTAAGGCTGCACTGTGTAGCTCTTCTCACTCTGATCGCAGGGCTTTATCAGGATTCCTATTATCTATCATTCACACGAAGCCCTTACACTGTTACGCACGATAAACAGGTGACGTTCTCAACGTGAACTCCCAGCTCAGTCTTTTCTCAGTCATGTACAAAATAAAGTCCTACTTTATTCAGAACATAAACGTTCTGCTTTGCTGGCCACGATGTCGCTCTGCGCAGTAGCACCCATTCAAACACACAGCGCAGATTTTTGGTTCTCTCTAGAATGAGTGTACCTGTAGTACTGTGCGAGCGTACCTGTAGTACTGTGCGAGCGTTGTAAGTGTACCTGTAGTACTGTGCGAGCGTTGTAAGTGTACCTGTAGTACTGTGCGAGCGTTGTAAGTGTACCTGTAGTACTGTGCGAGCGTACCTGTAGTATTGTGCGAGCGTACCTGTAGTATTGTGCGAGCGTTGTAAGTGTACCTGTAGTACTGTGCGAGCGTACCTGTAGTATTGTGCGAGCGTACCTGTAGTACTGTGCGAGCGTTGTAAGTGTACCTGTAGTACTGTGCGAGCGTTGTAAGTGTACCTGTAGTATTGTGCGAGCGTACCTGTAGTACTGTGCGTGCGAGCGTACCTGTAGTATTGTGCGAGCGTACCTGTAGTATTGTGCGAGCGTACCTGTAGTACTGTGCGAGCGTACCTGTAGTACTGTGCGAGCGTTGTAAGTGTACCTGTAGTATTGTGCGAGCGTTGTAAGTGTACCTGTAGTACTGTGCGAGCGTTGTAAGTGTACCTGTAGTATTGTGCGAGCGTACCTGTAGTACTGTGCGAGCGTACCTGTAGTATTGTGCGAGCGTACCTGTAGTACTGTGCGAGCGTACCTGTAGTATTGTGCGAGCGTACCTGTAGTACTGTGCGAGCGTACCTGTAGTATTGTGCGAGCGTACCTGTAGTACTGTGCAAGCGTACCTGTAGTACTGTGCGAGCGTACCTGTAGTATTGTGTGAGCGTTGTAAGTGTACCTGTAGTACTGTGCGAGCGTACCTGTAGTACTGTGCGAGCGTACCTGTAGTACTGTGCGAGCGTACCTGTAGTACTGTGCGAGCGTTGTAAGTGTACCTGTAGTACTGTGCGAGCGTTGTAAGTGTACCTGTAGTATTGTGCGAGCGTACCTGTAGTACTGTGCGAGCGTACCTGTAGTATTGTGCGAGCGTACCTGTAGTACTGTGCGAGCGTACCTGTAGTATTGTGCGAGCGTACCTGTAGTACTGTGCGAGCGTACCTGTAGTATTGTGCGAGCGTACCTGTAGTACTGTGCGAGCGTACCTGTAGTATTGTGCGAGCGTACCTGTAGTATTGTGCGAGCGTACCTGTAGTACTGTGCGAGCGTACCTGTAGTACTGTGCGAGCGTTGTAAGTGTACCTGTAGTATTGTGCGAGCGTACCTGTAGTACTGTGCGAGCGTACCTGTAGTATTGTGCGAGCGTTGTAAGTGTACCTGTAGTATTGTGCGAGCGTTGTAAGTGTACCTGTAGTACTGTGCGAGCGTACCTGTAGTACTGTGCGAGCGTTGTAAGTGTACCTGTAGTATTGTGCGAGCGTACCTGTAGTACTGTGCGAGCGTACCTGTAGTATTGTGCGAGCGTACCTGTAGTACTGTGCAAGCGTACCTGTAGTATTGTGCGAGCATACCTGTAGTACTGTGCGAGCGTACCTGTAGTATTGTGTGAGCGTTGTAAGTGTACCTGTAGTACTGTGCGAGCGTACCTGTAGTACTGTGCGAGCGTACCTGTAGTATTGTGCGAGCGTACCTGTAGTACTGTGCGAGCGTACCTGTAGTACTGTGCGAGCGTACCTGTAGTACTGTGCGAGCGTTGTAAGTGTACCTGTAGTACTGTGCGAGCGTTGTAAGTGTACCTGTAGTATTGTGTGAGCGTTGTAAGTGTACCTGTAGTATTGTGCAAGCGTTGTGTTTGTGAGCGTACCTGTAGTATTGTGCGAGCGTTGTAAGTGTACCTGTAGTATTGTGCGAGCGTACCTGTAGTATTGTGCGAGCGTTGTAAGTGTACCTGTAGTACTGTGCGAGCGTTGTAAGTGTACCTGTAGTACTGTGCGAGCGTACCTGTAGTATTGTGCGAGCGTTGTAAGTGTACCTGTAGTACTGTGCGAGCGTTGTAAGTGTACCTGTAGTATTGTGCGAGCGTACCTGTAGTATTGTGCGAGCGTTGTAAGTGTACCTGTAGTACTGTGCGAGCGTTGTAAGTGTACCTGTAGTATTGTGCGAGCGTACCTGTAGTACTGTGCGAGCGTTGTAAGTGTACCTGTAGTATTGTGCGAGCGTTGTAAGTGTACCTGTAGTATTGTGCGAGCGTTGTAAGTGTACCTGTAGTATTGTGCGAGCGTTGTGTTTGTGAGCGTACCTGTAGTATTGTGCGAGCGTTGTAAGTGTACCTGTAGTATTGTGCGAGCGTACCTGTAGTATTGTGCGAGCGTTGTAAGTGTACCTGTAGTATTGTGCGAGCGTTGTAAGTGTACCTGTAGTATTGTGCGAGCGTTGTGTTTGTGAGCGTACCTGTAGTATTGTGCGAGCGTTGTAAGTGTACCTGTAGTATTGTGCGAGCGTACCTGTAGTACTGTGCGAGCGTTGTAAGTGTACCTGTAGTACTGTGCGAGCGTTGTAAGTGTACCTGTAGTATTGTGCGAGCGTTGTGTTTGTGAGCGTACCTGTAGTATTGTGTGAGCGTTGTAAGTGTACCTGTAGTATTGTGCGAGCGTACCTGTAGTATTGTGCGAGCGTTGTGTTTGTGAGCGTACCTGTAGTATTGTGCGAGCGTTGTAAGTGTACCTGTAGTATTGTGCGAGCGTACCTGTAGTATTGTGCGAGCGTACCTGTAGTACTGTGCGAGCGTTGTAAGTGTACCTGTAGTACTGTGCGAGCGTTGTAAGTGTACCTGTAGTATTGTGCGAGCGTTGTGTTTGTAAGTGTACCTGTAGTACCGTGCGAGCGTTGTAAGTGTACCTGTAGTATTGTGCGAGCGTTGTAAGTGTACCTGTAGTATTGTGCGAGCGTACCTGTAGTATTGTGCGAGCGTTGTAAGTGTACCTGTAGTATTGTGCGAGCGTTGTAAGTGTACCTGTAGTACTGTGCGAGCGTTGTAAGTGTACCTGTAGTATTGTGCGAGCGTTGTGTTTGTGAGCGTACCTGTAGTATTGTGCGAGCGTTGTAAGTGTACCTGTAGTATTGTGCGAGCGTACCTGTAGTATTGTGCGAGCGTTGTAAGTGTACCTGTAGTATTGTGCGAGCGTTGTAAGTGTACCTGTAGTACTGTGCGAGCGTTGTAAGTGTACCTGTAGTACTGTGCGAGCGTTGTAAGTGGACCTGTAGTATTGTGCGAGCGTTGTAAGTGTACCTGTAGTATTGTGCGAGCGTTGTGTTTGTGAGCGTACCTGTAGTATTGTGCGAGCGTTGTAAGTGTACCTGTAGTATTGTGCGAGCGTTGTAAGTGTACCTGTAGTATTGTGCGAGCGTTGTAAGTGTACCTGTAGTATTGTGCGAGCGTTGTGTTTGTGAGCGTACCTGTAGTATTGTGCGAGCGTTGTAAGTGTACCTGTAGTATTGTGCGAGCGTTGTAAGTGTACCTGTAGTACTGTGCGAGCGTTGTAAGTGTACCTGTAGTATTGTGCGAGCGTTGTAAGTGTACCTGTAGTATTGTGCGAGCGTTGTAAGTGTACCTGTAGTACTGTGCGAGCGTTGTAAGTGTACCTGTAGTACTGTGCAAGCGTTGTAAGTGTACCTGAAGTATTGTGCGAGCGTTGTAAGTGTACCTGTAGTACTGTGCGAGCGTTGTAAGTGTACCTGTAGTACTGTGCGAGCGTACTGTAGTATGTGCGAGCGTACCTGTAGTATTGTGCGAGCGTTGTAAGTGTACCTGTAGTATTGTGCGAGCGTACCTGTAGTATTGTGCGAGCGTACCTGTAGTATTGTGCGAGCGTTGTAAGTGTACCTGTAGTATTGTGCGAGCGTACCTGTAGTATTGTGCGAGCGTACCTGTAGTATTGTGCGAGCGTTGTAAGTGTACCTGTAGTACTGTGCGAGCGTTGTAAGTGTACCTGTAGTATTGTGCGAGCGTACCTGTAGTATTGTGCGAGCGTACCTGTAGTATTGTGCGAGCGTTGTAAGTGTACCTGTAGTATTGTGCGAGCGTACCTGTAATATTGTGCGAGCGTACCTGTAGTATTGTGCGAGCGTTGTAAGTGTACCTGTAGTATTGTGCGAGCGTTGTAAGTGTACCTGTAGTATTGTGCGAGCGTTGTAAGTGTACCTGTAGTATTGTGCGAGCGTTGTAAGTGTACCTGTAGTATTGTGCGAGCGTACCTGTAGTATTGTGCGAGCGTTGTGCAGTCGGCCTGTAAACACACTGAGCTGTGTTCGGTACAGCAGCGTCTCCAGCAGCTGGAAGGATCTCTCCTCCGTTCTGTCGCCCTCTGGAGACTCCAGCAGAAACTGCAGCATGCTGTTACACACGGTGTCCTTCCCCTCAAATGTGCTCTCGATGTTCAGATACTGCAAACAACAGCAAAAATAATACATAAATGATTAAAAATACTACAAAAATATGAACGATAAAAATATACAAGATATCATCTCTTCCTCCAGCACTGCGGAGGTCTGTTCACTGTTTTAACCACTGAGAGTCAGTAAGTGTTGGCAATAACAAAAACACAAATTTTACATTATTTACATGTATTTAATGCTGTCAATCAGTTCAAATGAACTGTAATTAATCACATTACTTCGTGTAATCAAGATTAATCACATTTGCTCAAATTCAGAGGATTTGTTTCTATTAATAAAGCAGTGCTTTGTGTTATAACTAAATAAGTGGACAAAATAATCTGCATCAGAATGTATTTATTACTTTTAAAAATTCGATAATCATATTTATTTTCATGATGTGAAATCAGAAGCTGAACAATTTTTAATCAGTTCAGTCAATTTGCATTAAATCATTATCATATTAACTTTGACAGCCTTAATTACATTACATGATATTATAACTGTACATTTATTATGATGTACTTTCTGACTAACAATTCACTGAAGCTAGAAATTGTGGAGAAACTGTGATGCTTCTACAACTGCGCTACACACTACACACTGATGCACACCACTACATTAGTGCCAGTAAGTAGGAGATATTTGACTGCTTATTCATTTATTTATTCATTATGATATGAATTTGACAAAAAAAATTGCTGTCTTGGCGTTAAAAAGTAAATGTCAAACCACAATATAAATGGAACTGTAAGCCTTTATCAGTAATAACTGTAGATTCTAAGGGTTAATAAGCAATAAAATAACTCACAGTCCACCACACTTGGTAATGCGGCGCATGCTCCACAGCCATCTCGCACATCTCCTGCACGTCGTCCCTGCTGCCGCGCCGCGAGAACAGAGACAGGTAGTGACACCAGACCTCCACGTCCTCGCGGTTATCCTCCAGAGCGCGGGACAGCGTGTTCAGCGCAGCGTCCAGACACTCCCCCGCACTGCTGCAGGGAACAGAGAGTTAGTTACTCATAACGAATACAATATAAATGTGGATCATCAGCTTCTTTTGAAACTATGTTCAAAAGATTGCTTAATTAACCCCAAAGCACGGGTTCGATGTTTGATGTCCTCTTTTAGTTTTAGCACTGGAGCTACAAGGCTAATGTACTACAGGCTACGAGCTAACAGCAATAGAGGCCAACATCCCACCAATTAGCATCGTGCCTAAATCGAGCGAAACTGGCTGCTTCTTACTGGAATTTTCCGTTCCACCTTAAATGGTGCAGCAGCCTGAGGTGCCACAGTGTAACTGCTGCCCTATTTAAGGTGGAACGGAAGATTCCAATAAGAAGCCGTTGAATATACAATAGAACAGCGTGGTGTCTCAGCTCTTACGTGTCTTTCTGGTTGAGGTATTTGTAGGCCAGTTTGATCCACAGCTGCACGTCTCGCGGGCTCTCCAACACGCTGTACTCCAGGTTCGAGATGTCGTCAGTTTCGCTGTCGAAATACCGCTTGTCGTCCTGAGTCACACACACATCCGAAACGGACCAGCACTCCGGGAAACGACCGTCTGCCAAAACAAACCACAGACACATCCACTTTAGCGTTAGAGGAGCTCAGTGTTTAAAAACAAAGCCGTTCCTCAGCAGCAGCAGCATCAACTGGGCAAAATACCCATTTCCTTCTTTTCCCTGTTTTTCTAAAACATTTGTGAGGTTTTATGTACCAGAAAGAATCATGATTCATTTCTACGTGATCATTTTCCATCCTCTCTTTATTCCTTACAATTAAACAGGCCGTTTCTCTTACTGTGCCTTTAAGACGCATGTATGTAAATGAGCTCTGTTCTGATTGGCTGCCCTGTACTGTGTAGTGTGTGCGTGTGTGTGTGTGTGTACCGCTCTGTGTGGGAGGTGGGACAGTAACGCTGCTCTCCTCCTCACTCTCTCCGGGCTCAGGCTGAACTCTCTGAGGCTCCGGCCTCCATTTCCTCTTCTCCTTATAGGTGGTGTAGGGCGGGACTGCAGGAACAAACACACACCTGTTATTAAATCAATCAAAGAACCGAAGCCATATCGCCCCCTACACTTCCCGTCGTGTATTATGGCCTTAAATATGAGGGAAATCATTATTTTCAGCCCTAAACAGGCTGCATACAGTAAGCACTGTCATAATTCACGGCATTTACAGATGATTCTACTGAACTGGTTCAGAGTCAGAGCTGAAACACATTTGGGTCTTTGAGTGACCCCATACCTTAATTATGTTTATCTCAATCATAACTCTACCCAAAATTCAAAAATGTTTCAGTGGTGACAACTTTGAAGAGCTGTTCACACAAAATCATATTTTTAAATTAAAACACTTAAAAAGTACTGAACTGTAGAAAATATGACAATTCTTAAATTTCCACACTGATTTTCAGACTTCGTATTATTTTTATTATTAGTATTATTATTATAATATATTATAATTTTATTATTGTTATAATTATTATATTACAACAGTAATAACTTCAAAAGTGTAAATTCAGTCGTTATGGTTTGGCACAGACGCCTCCCAATAGAAAGAACCTTATAAATGATGACTGTATATATATTTAGTTTTTCAGATCAGAACCGAAATTACTGTAAATATCTAAGATCTGAAAACTTCACTGTTTCTTTAAATAGTTTTTTTAACTAACTCAGTAAAAATGTCCATAAACCCTTAACTGTATTGATTAAGTGCTGTATTGGTCAGCGGTCACTCACCGTGCCGTAAGCTCTCGTTCACTTTGCTGACGAGCAGAACGGCCTTCTGGTCCGTCCCCATCCGATCTTTATTAGCGCCGAACAGCTTCTTGATGTATTTTTCTGTAAGACAGAGAAGATCAGAAACTCTGCTGTGAGTCAGGAGCTGCAGGAACACAGGAGCAGACAGGAAACAGGAAGTGAGGAGGCGGCACCTGTGGCTCGGCCGATCTCGTCGGTGGAGCTGTCCTCTGAACAGCCAATCAGAGGCAGGCTGTAGGACAGAACGTCCTGGAACAGCTGGTTTCCGTTTAAAGTGCAGTTCCTCATGTGCTGCCTGAGAGACGAACACACGGTGAGGAGTCAGGAGCTGCTGCTCAGACAGATCAATGATCAGGGAGGGATTTATAGGGGACCTACCAGCGGCAGTCGTCATCGTTGCACGTGCCCGTCAGGTCGAAGCGACAGAAACACTTTTTGGGCTCGATAAGGTTGCTGTAGGTGGTGGAGCTGAGCGACAGTTTCTCCTTAGTGCGGAAATACGGACTGAACCTGCAGCACAACACAGCCACACACCGCTCAGTTACATCAGAGCAGCAGACTTAATTCAGCAAACCAACTCAAACACCAGCATCATCAGACACGCACAGCGATACTGGAATCACATCGTATCAGCAGCTCATTATTTAAAAAAATACAACCCCGTTTCCAAAAAAGATGGGACGCCGGGCAAAATGGAAAAAAAAGAAAAATGCAATGATGTTCAAATTATTTAAACCCTATATTTCATCGAAAATAGTACAAATCAAACAAATCAGATGATGAAACTGAGAGATTGGTTTTTTTTTAAATATTCGCCCATTTTGAATTTGAAGCCAACAACATGTTCCAAAAAAGTTTGTTTCATCACCTCTTCTTTTAACAAAAGTTAATATCTGCTTTCTTCGCGTTTCTTTTTTTTTTTTAATTTTTACCCAGTTTTCTTCCCAATTTAGTCGTCTCCAGTTCCACCCGCTAGTTAGGACTCCCCCAATCACACAATGCTATCCACGCTAGGAGGGTGAAGGCAGCACAGGCTTCCTCTGAGACCTGTGAAACCGCCCACCGCAGCTTTTCGACCTGCCGCAACATCATTGGACAGCCGAACGCGCTGGAAAGAGCCAACCGCCAGATCTGTTACGTCAGCTAACAGACGCCTGCGCTGACTAGCATCGCGCTGAGTGATGGGGGGAGAAGGGGGGGCCATCCTACCTCCTGGCTGCGGACGGCTGTAGCATCACCAGGGATCGAACTCGCGATCTCCTGATGAGAGACAGCGCTTACACAGTTGCGCCACTCGGGAGCCCAAATTCCTCAGTTTCAACATTTGATATGTTTCTTTGTACTATTTAAATCAAATGTTTAAATGATTTGCAAATTATTGCATTTCGTTTTTATTTACATTTTGCACAGCGTCCCAACTTTTTTGGAAATGGGGTTGTAACAGCATCAGACAGTTTAGGGCCCAGGTTAAAACCCTTTTGTGGCAGGATTAGTTTTCCACGTGGGGGTGATGCCAGTTTAACCTCAGGACGTCTGTGATGGTTATGAGGATAAGAAATCTCAGTAAGTGTAAACGTGTGCTGAGCCTGTGCTCACGTGTGCTGAGCCTGTGCTCACGTGTGCTTTGCTGCCATTTTTTGTAATCTGTAATATGTTGGTACAAAAATTCTAAAGAAAAAAACAAAGCAGTTTAAAATACTGAGCGCGCAGTTTTCACTTTGGGGTGGTTCTGAAAGACGTTACTGTGATTAGATTTGACTGATGATTCAAACCGATATTTGATGATTCACTTATTGATCTCTGTGCTCTGAACGTTCACTGTTATTGTTCTATCCTGTTCACAGAGCACAGCTCCGGTTCCTTCCTTCCAGAACGGCAGAAGCTCCTCACCTATATGATCTGAACACTAACAGCGGACTGCGGTAAGGTCCAAAAGAAACCGGCTTCAGCTCCCCTCGAGCCTGCTGAGCTGCCAGCGGGTCAAAATCCACCTGGATCACCTGCACAAAACATGAACATCATCTCAGAAAATGGATCAATAATAGACGAATAATGGACTGTGAACAGACGTCTGGTCACTAACACTGTACGACACACTGGTATCTGTGGCTAACAGCAGCTTTAACAGCTTGAAGCCTCAACTTTGGAAGTTTCTTGGTCAGTTTTTTAGATAAAAGTCTCTTTAACGGTGCGTTTATATTTATCTCTCCTCTAACCCAAATGAACGTACCCTCTCACTGGGCCGGATGACCCCCAGAGCACCCCCTAGTGAGCGCAGCTCATGCTGCAGCAGCTCTGGCAGTGTCCTGGATTGCTGGTAGCGCAGCCGCAGGTCCTCCACGTTCAGCCCCAGCAGCAGCTCCGGAGGGGGGGGTTCGGAGCCGCTCAGGCCGTGTTTGGCGGGCGTCGCGGGCGCGTTGGGTGCGGTCGGGGTCTCGGGGTGGCTCAGTTTGGGTTTGGTGAAGGAGCCGGACTCCCTGAATGACCGCCGGCGGGTGTTGGTGGCTCCGGTGGGCTGAAGCTCCTCCTCCTCGGGGTCGGGGTCCTCACTGGCTAGCGTCAGCTTGTCCTGCGTGAGGTCGTGCAGGCTGGGCTGGGGGACGCGATACGGGCTGCCGGGGGCCTGAGCCTGACGCAGAGCCTGAGCCTCCTTCAGCTTCTGGATCTTCAGCGCGTACTCGCTCTCCAGCTGCTGCAGACGCTTCTTCTGGGCGATCAGCTCAAGATAGTGAGCGTCAGAACCGTCCACACGACGCCGCTTACCGGGCTGAGAAACACAGAACAAAACAGGATCAGCATCAGCACCTTAGCATTAGGAGAGGTGGTGTTGGCGTTGGTGTGTATGATAGTGATGTTTGTGTGTCAGTGGTGTTGGTGTGTGTTAGTGGTGGCGCTGGTGTGTTACTCACCGAGAGCTGAGAGACGGTGTTGCTGGTGTGTGTGTGTGTGTGTGTGTGTGTGTGTGTGTGTGTGTGTGTGTGGTCAGTGGTGTTGCTGGTGTGTGTGTGTGTGTGTGTGTGTGTGTGTTGTCAGTGGTGGTGTTGGTGTGTAACTCACCGAGAGCTGAGAGACGGTGTTGTTGGTGTGTGTGTGTGTGTGTGTGTGTGTGTGTGTGTGTGTGTGTGTTGTTAGTGGTGGTGTTGGTGTGTAACTCACCGAGAGCTGAGAGACGGTGTTGCTGGTGTGTGTGTGTGTGTGTGTGTGTGTGTGTGTGTGTGTTGCGTTAGTGGTGGTGTTGGTGTGTAACTCACCGAGAGCTGAGAGACGGTGTTGCTGGTGTGTGTGTGTGTGTGTGTGTTGTTAGTGGTGGTGTTGGTGTGTAACTCACCGAGAGCTGAGAGACGGTGTTGTTGGTGTTGTTGCGTTTGTAGCCGCTCTGCGCTGCTCTCGCCTGAGCCACCAGCATCTCCCTCTCCAGCCGCAGGGCCTGGTGCTGCTTTATTGCCACGCGGTGCTGCACACGATGAACCTGTACAAGCAGACTCAGGATAAATTAAAGGGCAGATACTCTATTATTTTCACTGCTTTCCCCCTGAAGTCCAATCACAACATTTGTGAGGTTAAATGTATCAAAAACAGCCATAAAGAGAGACTCAAACAACACAGATCATCATCCAGACTCTTTATCTCTTACAGTTAAACAGGCTGTTTCTGTTAATGTGCCTTTATGACAGACGCATGTAAATGAGCTCTGTTCTGAATGGCCGCCTATATTGAGCATTTGCTTCACCACAACCACAATATTTTCCCACCATCTTTACATCTTCCACTCCAGTGACTCTGCCACAGACTGTCTGTAGGAACAACACATCACTCCAATGGGAATGGGCGGGGCTAAACTCCTGCAGGCCGAATGGGCGGGGCTAAACTGCTGTATGGGCTAAATTAGTAATATGAAAATGAGTTGGGACATCACAACCTTGATGCCTTAACATGCTTAGTGTCCATATATGGACTGGATAGTAAACAATACATTTTGGAACTTTCACACTTTTACGTTCCCCATGAGAAAAGTGGACGGTCTCTTTTTCTACGATGTGGGCCCTTTAAAGACCCGAACACAGCTGCAGGTGTGTAAACGTGTCTCCACCTGCTCCTGCAGCTTCTTCAGCAGCAGCCGGTTGGCGCTCACGACCCGCTCAGACGCCAACAGCTGCTCCTTCAGTCGGGCCACTTTCGTCTCCGCCGCTTTCAGAGACTCCTTCTTCCTGAGCTCCTGCTGACGGAGATGTTCCAGCAGAGCCTGGTCCTTCTCCAGCTGAGCACTACAGACAGACAGACAGACAGACAGAGACAGACAAACAAACAAACACAAAAACAGTCAATACCATAATGTAACTTTATCACAACTAAACCAGACTAAAACTAAAGCCGGAGACGTTTACGCTGCCTTTACACTCTTCGTTAAGCTGTAAACAGAGCGGTTTGGTGTGAAACGCTGTGATAAAGATAAACTCTCTAGATAAACTTACCGAGTCAGAACTGCTCACAGTGGTGATGATAAGAACCAGACGTCCACCTCTAAAAGCTCTTACATGAAATGGAGGCAAAATAGTCCCCAAAGAAAACTGATTATTTCAGATTTTCCACTATTTTCCATCATCAACATTCCATATAAACTCAGAAGACTCGTGTAGGTTCACTGGTGGTTCTGGATAGTAAATAAAATGTCTATATCTGTGTTGTAGTCATGGCGACCCCTGGTTCCTATCAGCACCACTGTAAAGACCTCTGAACCATTTCACACCAAACCACTCTGATTACGTCTCACACACTGAATTATGGGGGAATTTTGGAAATATGGGTGGATCATTTTGTCTGTCAAAATGATGACATCATCGCCTGATCCAAATTAGTCAACTAGTCTAGTAGTGAACTAGTCAAACAACTAGTCACCCACAGTTATTTTAGCTGTCCAATCACCTCCCACAGTTCCACAGCCCAGCGTTCAGATCAGAGAGTGAGCTGGGTGTGTTTAAATCAGCTGGTTTGAGGCAAATCCATGTAAATGAACATGTTTAAAATGCTTTTTTTTCAGTAACGTTTCAAAAAGGTTCTGACCGGTTCTGCTGCACTCAGAGGGCAGCGGTGAGTAATGTTTTATTTGAGCTCTTCAGTCAGAGCTGCTAAGTTCTGCTGGGAATCGAGTCAGCTAATCAGGTTATTTGGCCACTTCAGGCTTTCAGCTTTAATAAATGCAGATGATTAAAGCGCTAATCACTCCGGGTCCTGACTGCCCACTCACTTCCTCCTAAAACTGACCCGTCTCTCCACCCTGCGCTACTCTTCTGCCTCAACCTCACAGCTCCTGCTGTATGATCCCATTTCCATCCTGGTCACTTTACTTCCTCTGGTTTGTATCATCTTCCTGTTTCTGTGTTTATTTTGCTGTTCTTATGATCTCCGGTGAAGACGACGCCCTTTTATTGTCTTCTTTTCCCTGTTTTTCATCTTTTCTCGCTTTGCTGGCCTGTTTTTTATGCTCTGTAAGACGACAGTGAGTTTTTTGATATGTGCTGTATAAATAAATCGTGTCAGTGTGACTGTGTAAGCACTCAGTTTCATTATTATTATTATTATTATTATTATTATTATTATTATTATTATTCCACCAGTTTTTGTCCGGCCTTCTTCTCCTGCAATTTTAAAGGTATCAAAAGGTTGTGCACCCAAATTATGCCATTTTGGTATAAGACCATTAGCAGCACCTAACAACCAACTGGAATACCATAGCAACCACCTAGCAACACTTTTGCAACCACCTAAAGCACCACGGCAACCGTTCAGCAACACTGTCACAACCACTTAGTAACCGTTTATGCTGCACAGTCACTTTTTTATTCCTTAATAAAGCACTTATTACTACTACTATTATTATTATTATTATTATATTATTATTATTATTATTATTATTATTATCATCATCATCATCATCATGAGGAAAATAACTGTCACCCTTCATATTTCCTGATCGTGACAGGCCGACAGCTGCTCTGCTCTAGACAGTTCGTGAATAGCTAGAGTGTTTGTAAACATTCTATAAAGGACTAATCAGATTAAGATCACTAGATGATAATAATAACAGTAGTAATAATAATAATAATAATAATGATAATGTATCTGCTGTGTGCTGTGCTGTATGCGGGTCTGAAAGCAGGAGTGTAAAGGACTGACCGGTGTTTCTTGAACTTGTCCTCGGCGTCGCTGAGCTGAAGTCCAGCCGTGTCCAGCTCAGAGCCCACAGGAGCAGCCAGCGCAGGATCTGACCTCACCGCACGCTGCTTCTCACGACTGCACACAGAAAACAACCAGAATCGAATTAGAGCTGAACGAAATACGCTAACACAGCTCACAACGGACGCATGTTCATTAGCTCAGGCTATGCAGTGGATATCAACCCTCGTTCAGACTCAGAGTCTGACTGAGCTGCTGCTTCATCAGGAGCGTCTCTGAGAGCCGGTTTACTCGCTGCGTTTGGTGTCTGGATCGTTCCTGCATAAAATCCAGATTTCATTTACATTTTTCTCTGAAACGTCCCAGAGTGACCGATACGATCTGATTACACTTTCCTGCAGAAAAAGCCTGTCGACACGACACACACGATTTCTGTTTTACTTTGTTTACGTTCTTCCCGTTACGATACGCCGTTAGTATGAAAGGTTCTGTGCAGGTTCACTTTCTCATCACGGTAGATGTTCCTCAGGATTTGTACCTTTTCACAGCTTAATGTTTGGGAATCGTTTTATTTTCTAGTTTTCTGTTTCTCTGTTTTAGTTGTTTCTCACTGTTGAGCAGTTTTAATGCTGAAGGGTTCTTCAAGAAGTCAGAATGTTCTGTCCTCATGGTTTGAACAATAGCAGCAAATTATTTTTATGACGCCCCCTAAGGAGGATTCGGCCTCCGGGAACAAGAACACTCAGTTTACTAAGGTATTTAAATTAGGATCTCAGAAAGCTGATTCTGCCCTTTTACAACAGGATCTAAGGCTCTGTGAACATGGACAACGGTACCAAGGGCTCTGGGGGGAAACAGAACAAGCATAAGAACTGCGTGTCTAATCTTCTGCTCAGACAGGTGTTGAGACAGAGATGGACAGAACTGAATAAAACAATCATTCCCACAGATCCTGGTCTCCTGAGAATCTTCTGCAGCAAAGACACAGATTTACAAGATGGTTTAAACAGAGCAAAATGGAATCAGAGCTATTGCTTCACCCGCTTTCTCATTTTCTAGAACTGCATTAATAGTAAAACCTTGTCTGTTTTTTGATCACACTGCTTTTCTGATCATGTCCTGTTTATCGTCAGTGCTGGTAGAAACTGACCAGCTGCATGTTTCATTACAAAGAGAGTAAAATTAGTCAATTTAACCTGATTTAGTGACAAATACTGAATATAAATCACTGTGTTCAGTTTTTGATAGTGTTTTTAAAATGTAGCTCTGCCGATTCTTTTTTCTCTGTTCCAGCTGATCAGATGTCTGAAAGCATTAATATCGTGACGTATCGCGCATCATTAAAATTTTGCGATATTATTTTCCTGCCCAATCGTCCACCTCTGTGGACGGCAGACACAATGCTGGTCACGTAATTGTACAGAAAACGTCTCTGAATGTGGTTTGAGTGATCCGATCGTAATCTGATCACAGTGCACCCTCGAGGTGGATCTACATCCAAACGTGATCTGATCACTAAAAACATGTTAATGTGCTGTAAACAGGCCCAGCATTTGGTGAGAAGATGCTGAATCCAGCTCAGCTCACACCCTCAGAGCACCTTCAACACACACACACACCCAGATCACGCTCTCTGCTAACGCTGCAGACAGAGCTGACCCTGACCCTGACCCTGACCCAGACGCTGACCTGGCCAACTCCTCTCTCAGGAGGCGGTACTCCATCTTCCTGTCCTCAGGCAGGGTCTCCGTGGTCCTGAGGGGGTTGTTCTCCTTCTCTGACGCTGGAACAGTCCTGGGTTTGGCCGCCTGGAGCAACAAATACACATTAACCCTTAAAGTGAGAGTTTACTGTTCAGTTATTAATCTCGCAGCTTATTCACTACAAATTAATCATTAACTAAGTCACAGTGATAATCAGCTGATCTGCAGTATAAAAATAACCAATCGCTGAATGTTCTACTGTTTGCTGTGAGCACAGTGACGATCTCAGGTGTTACAGGTGAGACTTTTACTAATTTTGCCACAGAAGAGGTCATTTTTACTATTACACAACTTTCATTGAGCAGGTTTATTCAGTCCTCCATTGTTTGGAGTCAGGGGTCAGCCATGTTAACCTCGTTACAGCCTCGTTTTTTTATTTGCAATTAACAGAATGACCCATAAATATCTGTCTGATCACACAGACTGTCAAAGATTTAGAAATATTCATACAGTTTAATGATATAAAATGCAGATCTGTCGCAGTTTCGGAGGTAAACAGTGAGTCTGCAGGCTTGGTGCAATCTGCCTCCTCACCACTAGAGGGTACTAAATCTTACACACTGCACCTTTAAATAATCATCTGAGTATAACTGATGGAACGAATGGTGATGACAATGTTTCGTCAGTCAACATAACGGTACCTAATGCAGTAACAAGCAGCCAAACAAACACGCCGACCGAAACAAAACAAAACAAAACTAATCCATCAGATAAACAAACTCATACACAACGAAAACGTTTCGGGGGATTTTTAAGTTTTAAAATGTTTTATTTTGGTCAAACACAGTAATGCATTCTCCTCTAAATATTATTACTATATATTTTAACATCTATAATAACTGATTCAAACATTCCAAAACCAAATCATCACAATTAATTCCTTCAGTAAACTCCCTCGTCTCACCTCCACAGTCCTGCGAGCCTCTTTAATCATGGACTCCAGTCCCCCGAACACGCTGTGAGCCGAACTGGACGCCTCGCCCTCAGAGTCGCTGTCGTCGGAGCCGTTCAGACGCACCACCACCGCCTTGTGTCGGGGCAGCTGAAGGACAAACCAACCAAAATAACACAGTTTTACTGCTGTTTAAACAAGAGGAACATCCACAAAGTCAAATCTGGTCATTGGTTTTAGTGCCAGAGCTACGAGGCTAATGTAGCTAACAGGTAATGGAAGCTGTATCCCACTAATTAGCATCACTCCTAAATCACCTCAAAGCATGTTAAAGTAGCTAGAGCAGAAAATTCCGATAAGAAGCTGCTGAACTGAAAGCCAACGTGGGCTTTCTGTGTCTCAAAGCGTCCAGAGTTGTTAATTAACCTCTAATAAACATATTGATTATGTGGTTTCTGACACCGTGATCTATAAACATGGACTAAACTACAGTTTTAAGCCGCTGTTCATCTTTTAAAGGTTCCTGTGTTGAACTGTTACAGTGAGCGTTAGAGCTGCTACAGAGACGCACCACCAGAGGGGGTCGGGGGGGTTGGTGTCCGCGGGTGAATTTGCTGGGGCGTGTCTGGGAGCCACTGGTGATAATGATGGAGGAGGCGGAGCTCCACGCTGTGGGCAGAGACAAGGGCCTGGCAGCTGGAGACGGAGGACCACTGTTACTGGAAGCGTCCTGCAGAGGGGCGAATAAATAAATGTAAATAAATAAATAAAACAATCAACAATCAGCACAACCAGAAACAACACAAGACCAACTCTAACCCATTGTTTGACCAAAAATGGTAGGTGAGAGATAAGAGATTTCAGATAAGACAGAACAAAATGCAGAGCATTAATACAAAATAACAGATTAAATGAGATTATAATCAAGTTCCAAAATTTATCAATTTACAAGTAATCTGAAAGGTAATGAAAATGAAAATAGCGATTAAAATGCTGTTCGTTCAAAGCAGATCAACAGTGAAAACACTGGCTGTGTGGAACTACTTCACAGCTTCTACGAGGAACACTGGACACCAGATTTATAAACAACGAGTGAAGAATAACTAAAAATAAAGGAATTCATTGTGTTGGATGCTCAACTGGTCTCTGATGTAAAGGACGCTGGATTTCATGGCTCATTCTTTGATCGTTTCAGTACATTTTTTATCTTACGTAAACTCTTTATAATTAAAGCAGGGCCGACTCTACCTAACAAGCAACATAAAGAGCTGCTTAGGGTCCCATGGCCACCAGGGGGCCCTCTAACAACGTTTAAGTAATTACTCCAAGTAAACATTTAGTTGTCCAATAAGACGCTGGAACGCGGGGGAACGTAACCAGTCAGTCAATCATTTCTCAAAAAAGAGAAAACAAGCAGAAACAGTTAAAAGAATAAGGTGTGTGTTTCAGGAACGTTGAGCACTGTAGAAAACTTAAATACATAAATGTGTGGATTCCGACTGGTCTTCATACACACAACTATTCAGCTAAACTTCTCATATTAAACACAATTAGACTGAATTTAAATCAATATGCAGATTTCAGTCAAACAGATAAAACATCAAATATGTTACAAATACTGACAAATAAAAAATCATATCTTGAGGGCGCAGAGGAAATATTATTCTCTCTGTTTGTCTTTTTAAAATGTTTAAAAATTGTGTTTAAAAAAAAAGCTGTAGGTGTTGGTGGGAGTGCCTATGCCAATGGGACCCCCCAAAGACACCCTGCTTAGAGACCCCTAATTGCTGGGGCCGTCCTGATCTGAAGAGTTTTATTCTAAAATGCTGTATAAACGATGTAACGGATTCAGACGTTAAGGGTTTTGAAATACCAGCTGTATATAATGTGACTCATATTTGCTTCTCTAATGAAGCTGATATTAACTATAATACAGAACTCGCAGCGCATAGTAAGAAAATTAAACGTGTTCTGAAGTGAAACTTTTAATTTACAGCTTCTTTAGTTTTCGGATAGTTGCAGTGTTTCCTGAATCTCTGACTCGGTCAGCAATGTTAATCTCTCTGTGTGTCAGAGCTCAGAGTTCAGCACCTCCGCTCTGACGGCGCGCTTGTTGGCGAGGGATTTGAGCAGCTCCTCTCTCAACATCATCTCCTCCTCCTCCTCCTCATCAGCGAACGGAGGCTTCGGGGGGCGCTCCAGCTCATCTGGTGGGGGCATCGGTGGGGGAGGAGGGGGTGGGGCCGAGCGAACAACCAGGGGGTCCACACAATACTGAGAGACATCCTGAGAGAGAGAGAGAGAGAGAGAGAGAGAGAGAGAGAGAATGATGTATGTAAATGGGCTCTGTTCTGATTGGTGAACCTGCACTGTCTATCACTCTAAAAGCAGAGCTGGAATGTGGAACAAACTGTTAAAGTAGAATTACACAGTTAAGATGTAAACAGAGTGGTTCAGAGTGGTTTGGTGTGAAACGCTCTGTTCTAGATAAACTTACCGAGTCAGAACTGTTCACAGTGGTGGTGATAGGAACCAGACGTCCACCTCTAAAAGCTCCCTCACAGAAAGTTCCTACATGAAATGGTTATGAATTCACTGCCTGATGACTGAGACACTGTTTTATGATAGTTTAGAGAGCTTAAACTCCATTCATGGTGGAGGGATACATGCAGGGCGCTGTGAGGCAAAATAGTCCCCAAAGAAAACTTATTATTTCAGATTTTCCACTATTTTTCATCATCAACATTCCATATAAACTCAGAAGACTCGTGTAGGTTCACTGGTGGTTCTGGATAGTAAATAAAATGTCTATATCTGTGTTGTAGTCATGGCGACCCCTGGTTCCTATCACCACCACTGTAAAGACCTCTGAACCATTTCACACCAAACCACTCTGAACCTCTCTGATTACCTCACACTGAATTTTGGAGGAATTTTAAAATTGGGTGGAGTTCCATTTTAATCATTTTCCAACACTCTAATCTCAACCCAAAACAAACTTGCTGTGTAGCTCCGTCAAAATGATGACATCATCGCCTGTTCAAAATTATTGGAACTAATCAAACAACTAGTCAACTACAGTTATTTTAGCTGAACACAATCACTTCCCACAGTTCCACAGTCCAGCGTTCAGGTCAGATCAGAACCTGAGCTGGGTGTGTTTTAATCAGAGGCAAATACATGAAAATAAACAAGAACATTTTGGAAACTGGGTGGAGTTCCCCTTCAAGCCAGGACTCTGAATGTGTGGATCTGGATGAGCAGGTTTTAAAGGTGAAGTGTACCTGTGTGACAGGTGAGGAGTCTGAGGGGAACGGTATCATCTGAACCAGGAACTGCGACCCGATCGCTCCAAACGGGTCGTGTGCTGGAGAGGCGGCTGCAGAGACAGTGTTACACCACGGTTCAGCAAACAGAGCACAAGTCACACTCAGCATTGATTATCAGGAGTTCCAGACGCTCAGAAACTGAAATACTGACACACTGCAGAGCAGAACTGCCCAAATAATCACCTGACAGATTTACTTTGGCTTCTCTGAGCCTTTTCACAAACACCTGAGCTTCTGGAGTGAAACCTTCTGCTCCAAACAACCACAGAGCTGATATTAAAACATCACTAACATGCACTTTTAAAAAGAGGGTTCTTCAAAAAGGGTTCTATACTAAACGCAACGGCTCTAATCAGAACCAGGGATTCTATATACACTGCATGCTTAAATGGTTCCTTGTTTGGTGAAATGGTTCTCCAGATTGAAGGAGAATGTTTTGTATATGGTTCTATATAGCACAAAAAGGGTTCTGCTATCGTACACAAGCATGACATAGTAACAACAGCGGAACTCGTTTTGGTGCTGATCAATAACAAAACTCTAAAATTTGTATGCAGCCATTTTACAATCAGATCTAACTGCATGCAGCGTTAATGAATAAGGCCGAATGTCTCTCTGGAAGAGAGAATATATTTCTCTGTTGTATTTCGAGGGTTCAGAATAATACATTTTTCCAATGGTGGAGTCAGATGATCAATAGGGGATTTAGATGATCAATAACGTGTAGAAGCGGCTCAGACTCTGTCTGTGTGCATTAGCCCTGTTTACTGCACTTACAGCTCGCTAACAAACATGTGACATTCATGTTTAAAAAGAAGGCAGAACTTTTCTATTTACCTATTTATCTATATTTATCTATCCATACATCTACACACACACACACACACACACACACACACACATACATATATATATATATATGCAGTGGCAAGAAGAAGTATGTGAACCCTTTGGAATTTTATGGTTTTCTGCATTAATTTGTCATAAATGTGATCTGATCCTCATCCAAGTCAAGCGTATTGACAAATATAATGTGCCTAAAATAATAACACAAAAAAAATTGTGATCGTTCATTGAGAACAACCATAAAGACCTCACAGTGCTGGTGGGTACAGTATGTGAACCCTTGAGTTAATGATCTCAGAAAAGCTAATTGGAGTCAGGTGTTAGCGAACCTGGAGTCTTGTTGAGAAAATGAGTTTGGAGGTTTGACTAGAGCCACTCTGACCGATAAAAACTCAAACGTTCTGAGTTTGCTCTGCACAAGAAGGACACGCGTCTGTGAGCCATGCCTCGCCAAAGAGAGCGTTCAGAGGATCTACGATCAAAAACTGCTGATTTACATGAAGCTGGAAAGGGTTACAAAGTGATTTCAAAGACTTTAGAAATTCACCAGTCTACAGTCAAACCATCTACAGATATAGACAATTTGGCACTGTGGCTACTCTGCCAAGAAGTGGGCGCCCAGTCAAAATGACCCCAAGAGCACAACGGAGACTCATCAATGAGGTAAAGAAACAACCCCGAGTGACGGCCAAAGATTTGAAGGAGTCATTGGTGCAGGCTGACGTCTGTGTTCATCAGTCTACAGTCCGTAAAGCCTTGAACAAGCAGGGTGTTTATGGCAGGACACCACGAAGGAAGCCACTGCCCTCTAAAAAGAACACTGCTGTCTGAAGTTTGCCAAAGAGCTCACTGACACTCCACAACGGTGCTGGCAAACTGTTCTGTGGACAGAGAAACTGAGACTGAACTATTTGGAAAGAGCACGCAGCGCTGCATCTGGCGTAAAAAAGGCACTGCACATCACCAGGAAAATATCATCCCAACCGTAAAGTACGGTGGAGGGAGCCTCATGATTTGGACCTGCTTTGCTGCATCGGGCCGGGCCAGCTTCCAATCATTGAGGGGAAGATGAATTCCCAAGTGTATCAAAAACCTCTACAGGATAATGTGAGTGTGTCCGTACGTCAGCTGGGACTCTGTAGAGGTTGGGTGATGCAACAGGACAATGACCCAAAACACTGGAGCGAGTCCACAACAGAACGGCTTCTGAAAAACAAAACCCGCCTTTCGGAGTGTCAGAGCCCAGATCTCAACCCTGTAGAAACGCTATGGATTGACTTGAAGAGAGACGTACACGAGGCGTCCAGGAACACGACGGAGCTAAAGCAGTTCTGCCAGGAAGAACGGGCTAAAACTCCTCCTGAACGACGTGCAGGTCTGACCCACAGCTACAGGAAGCGCCTGGTTGAGGTTACTGCTGCCAAGGGGGGGGTCAACCAGCTATTTATTGCTCAATTTCCTTCGGGATCAATAAAGTATCTATCTATCTATCCATCTATCCATCTTTCCATCGATCCATTAATTTCAAGGGTTCACTTACTTTTTCCACTACCACTTTAAATGTTGAATGACTGTGTGCAACAAAGACCTGCAAGATCATATTTTTTTTTTGTGTTATTATTTTAGGCACATTATATTTGTCAATACACGACTTGATGAGGATCATTAATTAAATTAATGCAGAAAACCATAAAATTCCAAAAGGTTCACATACTTTTTCTTGCCACTGTATATCTATCTATCTATCTATCTATCTATCTATGTATGTTCATATATCTGCATATATATATATATATATATATATATATATATATATATATATATATATATACACACACACACACACAGTTTGTCTTTAGCTCTGGTAGCTAGGCTAGCTAGCTGCTGGCTGCAGATGCTAAACTATAAGCAGTTTAGCAACATCAGGTTATTATGAGGCGCTAATGCTAATGTTAGCGCGCTAGTGACGTTAATAACCTGTATAACGTTCTCCTCTAAAATCTCACGACGTTTCTTAAACCAGCGATTCAAACAACACCCTAATTTCGCTGCTGTCGCTCAGGAAGGCCTGACGAGACGCGGCTGTGAGCTTTTTATCGGATTTTTCTGCCGTGTTGTTGGAGAAACAGCTAACGCTAGCTGATAAATGAGCTGCTGATGTTAGCTGCTCGAGCCTTTAGCTCCTGTAGCCTAGCATTACACGCAGATCAGTTAGCTACTGTTAAATTCTGACCACACCTTAAAAATGCTCTGCTTTCTTTTTAGGACATGAACATCACAAGAAAACGCTGAAAAAGCTGCTTCACGTTTCACAGCAGTGAACAAGCCACAATTAGCACAGCTAGCTTAGTTGGGTACAGACGAATCGATTAAATCCACACTGCACATAGAAGTTCTGCTTTCTTTTTTCTTTAAAGATGATTTTAAGCAGAAGCTGATCATGTTAGCGCAGTTAGCAGAGCGACTGAACACACAGCATCCTCATTCAGTTCAGTGACCAGGCTGAACCCACCTTCTCCACTATCTGTCAATCAGAAAGCCCAAACACTAAAACCTGCTGCTGTAATTTAGTGATTAATAACTGATAATCGTGTCTGATCTCGCTCTGCAGCAGCTGCTCGACCAGCAGTGAGAACTGAAAAACTGCGAGGGTAACTTTTAGCAGGAGCTCCTTCAGTTTGACAGATTTTACTTCAAAAAAATCAAATCAATCAAAAATCAGTCTTTAGGTTCTGTGATCATTAACTACCTGGGGAATTAGTTTCGCTGTCCGTATCCATGGCAACCTCATCGTAGTTATCATACTGGTACAGGTTTCCTGAGGTGTCCACTCCCTGCTTCAGCAGAGGTTTCCTGTGGTCAGTGTCTGCAGACTAACAAACAAACAAACAAACAAAAACAAACAAACATGCTGTCATAAACAGCACTAACACTCGTCAACATGTGCTGCCAGCCTCAACTACAGTAACGTGTTTACAGTGACGTGTTCAACTACAGTGACGTGTTCAACTACAGTGACGTGTTCAACTACAGTAACGTGTTTGCAGTAACATGTTCAACTACAGTGACGTGTTCAACTACAGTGACGTGTTCAACTACAGTGACGTGTTCAACTACAGTGACGTGTTTAACTACAGTAACGTGTTTACAGTAACGTGTTCAACTACAGTGACGTGTTCAACTACAGTGACGTGTTCAACTACAGTGACGTGTTTGTCAGAGTGACTTACAATTTAATGTTACAGGAAAGGGAATGTAGTGAAGTTTTGCCCAAAAACTGTGCCCAGCGTAGCGCAGCGCTCTGGCCTGGACGCTGAATCAAAGCGCACAGCAGTGACTGGCTCTGCTTCTACAGTAGAAACAACTATAAACCAAATTTTCAGCACTGATTCTGGCTTAATATTTCATTTTGAGGTCTGAATTAGTCCGATACACCGTAAGATTCAATAACAGAAATATTGATTTCGATATTGATTTGATGTTGATTTTCTAAAAGGGTCAGTTTTATTACTGTCACAGCAACAGATCTGTGTCGCTCCTGAAAACTGTTTTTGGTGCAGAAACAACAAACACAGGCAGATTTTACACGGCAGTCCAGGATCTGCTGCTCTTCAGTCTCTCTCCTCTAATGATACAGCACAAATTTATTAAATAGCTTCTGTGTGTCTGATTACGTCATATAATGAGATTTGACATCCCGGCTCACTTTAACAGTGCAGTCATCAGCCGCGTCAGATACGGAGACCTGAAGCAGATCATCGCACGGAAAACGGACATAAACACGATGTCTGCGTCAGTCCACATTCAAATACTGGGCAGGTTGGTTTTTGGGTGTTTTAGAGTGGCTACAGGGTGTTTTGTGTGTTTTGCCTGCTTTCAGGGTGACATATGGGTTTTTTAGGGTTGTTTGTGGGTTTTTTAGGGTGGTTTGTGGGTTTTTTAGGGTGGTTTGTGGGTTTTTTAGGGTGGTTTGTGGGTATTTCAGGGTGTTTCAGGGTGTTTTTGGGTCGTTTGTGGAAGTTCGGATGTCTGCACTCCCAAATGTTTTTATCAGACCACATTCAAATAGAGTTTTAAAAAGCCTCAGTGAACTAAAGCTGTGTTTTCGTGTGAAACGGAGGTTAAAACACTGAACACATGAACTGGTCTGTGTGTTCGAGCACAAGCACCCCTTATAACTGTGGAGTTTAGCTGAGCAGATCAGACCAACAGATCCAAACTGCAGCTCAACCTCAGCCACGGCAGCTGATTCTCTCTGCAGTCACGGTTCTGCCGATGTATGCAGTGTGTAAATCCCCCCTGGTATTCGGGGGTCCCGTGTCTGTCTGCTAACTCTCTCTCCATAGCGGCGCTGATGCATCAGTGTCAGTAAATGTTTGTTTTATCAGCTGTTCTTATGTAGAGTCTCTGTTCTAGTGCGGTTCTGCGCTCTTCCTCACAGTAACTGAGATCTTCCTCGTCTCCTCTTCTGTAGAGTCTCTGTTCTAGTGCGGTTCTGCGCTCTTCCTCACAGTAACTGAGATCTTCCTCGTCTCCTCTTCTGTCTTCAGTGTGAGAAATGAGGAACAGTCACTCTTCACTCCAAACTCTTGGGAAACTGGGCGAGTTTTCAGATTTACAGATCTGCTGCAGCTCATTGTAAAGTTTTTCAGAGGAATCCGGGCAGAGTTACAGTTTCTAGGCTATGAAGGACCAACTGGGTGAACCGGTCTGCTACAGCGCCACCCTGAGGCAGAGCAGTGCTGCAGCTCTAGTTAGTTAAGAACACCAGAGACAGAAGCTGATTGTGGGAGAAGCAGAGAAACAATGAGATTCACTCAGTCTGTGTTTGAGCGTCTATGTTTCACTAACATAACGCCATAATGGGTTTATTTTCAGACCCCCAGAATTTTGATTCTGAGACACTCAGTGGGTCCAGGAGGTTAATTAGAAGGTCCTGGACTTAACAGTTTGAAATGTTTCCGCACCTTGGATGTAGTGTTCATGCTCGTTCATACTGGTGCCTGACAGTTGCGCTGCCAGCTGAGTTCGGTTCGACACATCACACAACATCCAAGGTGCGGAAACATGGGGGTCCTGCGGACAACTAATCAACATTATTGATAACGTCTTTTTGGAGCAGGCATGTCAAACTAAGAACCTTCCGGACTGAAGTGCTGTGGAGATCAGTGTTTACCCTCATCTAAGGCTCTGAGTTCAGCTCATGAAGGCCTAATTAGCTGATGAACTGAATGAGGTGTGTTTACTGAAGTCTGCGGTGATTCGGCCGCGCGGACTGGAGCCTGACGCGTTTTGGACGATGTTAAAGTGTTTTTATAGTTTTCAATTTTTTGGTTTGTGTCACTGTCTGTTCCAATCACGGTGTGTAAACGCACAAATGTCATCAAAGCTACTAATTGATAAGGTGATTAGTTGTCAACTATTTATGATCAACGTCATCAATAATGTTGATTAGCTGTTGCAGCCCCAGTCCTGATTTCTCAGATTTCAGCTGTAGGAAACATCACTCTCACCTTGCTGCGTGCGCGGTGCTGTCTGCCGCCCACCAGCTTCATGAATCTGTTGTACTGCTCGTCCTGATTGGACAGATCTCTGATTCGCCGGATCTCGTCCTCCCTCTTCCTCCTCTCCTCCTCTTCCTCGTACTTCTGCCTCTGCTCCTCCTGCTGCCGCTGTAGCTTCCACGTCCGCAGCTGCTGCTTCCTCCACGCCTGCTTAGCTGCCGGACCTAAACTCCACACAAACGCAGCCCATTACATCCCATAATATGACAATTACATTAATGACGCTGGAAATCAACATCAATCAGCATTAATAAACATTATTAAAGTGACAGTTCAGCAAAAACCTGTACTTCACAGCATTTCTCTTCCTGTAAACGTATCAGCCTGGATGGTCTCTGATCACTGCAGTGTTCGTTACCTGGGCTGACAGTCTTTTTAGCATTGTGCCCTTTAGGTGCAGGTTTGACCCTCTCCATGCCCACTCTGCCCGCTGGTTTTCCCTTGTCCTGTCCTCTGACCCCCGCCCCTGCCCGGCCCCTCCCTGCGGAGGCAGACCTGGTGGTGACCCGGAGCCTTTCGGAGGCGGGGCTGGTCCGGTCCGGCGGCGTTTTTGTCCGGTTCAGTTTCTCTTTACTCTCCTTCATCACCTGCTGCTCCTTCTGCTGCCAGCGCCGGCTGGCGGACTGCAGAGCCAACAGACGCAGCTGCAGCTCGGACAGCTCGTCGTCCTCGTCCTTCCCCTTCCCCTTCCCCTTCACCTTCACCTGAACACACACACACACACACACACGCGCGCACACACACACACACACACACCACCGCATCACTGTATTAGTGGGGACTCCAAATGACAGTATCACTACAGCTGTTTGTGGGTTTTATGGAGCGGCTTGTTGTTTTGGTTTGGGTGGTTTGCTGTGGGCAGCTCATGGTGCTCCAGGCTGGTTTGTAGGCGTTACAGGGTGTTTGTAAGTGGTTTGTAGGTGTACCAGTGAATTTTAGGCCAGTGTTTTTTATTTTTGTTTTAAAGTGGTTTTACAGGTGTTTTGGGGGTGATTTGGCGTGTTTGGGGCAGTTGTATGTCAGTTTTTGGGTGTTGTAGAGTGGCTGCAGGGTGAGTTTTGTGCGTTTTGCCTATGGGTGGTTCATAGATGTTTTGGGGTGATTTAGGGTAGTTTGTAGGTGTTTTAGGGTGGCTTATAGGATATTTTGTGTGTTTCAGGGAGTTGTACAGTGGTTTGTGGGTATTTTAGGGTGTTTCAGGGTGTTTTTGGGTGGCTTGTGAATGTTTATGGGTTCATGGGTTGCGGGAGGTTCAGGACTGTCTAATGTACCTTGGCTGGAGTTCCAGCTGAATCTTTGCTCAGCAGTGAGATGTTCAAGTCTGACTCCGACCCCTCCTCGTCCTCCACAGCGTCTAAAAACACAAAAAAGACAAAAACGTAAGCAGACAGAGATGAACTCTTCATACAAACAGTGTGTGTAGTGTGGGGTAGCAGTGGTGAATCTATTCCCTACAGGCCGTGTGCAGCGAGTTCGCTCTGGAGTTCTGTCGTTCATACTGTACCGTTCTGCGTTGTTGACTCATTCGGACTTTTCTCCTCCTCCTTTTTCTCGGGCTCTTTATTCTCAGACTCGATCGCGGTTTTGGGTTTGAGCGCGTCCCGTTCGGCCGGCGTTAGCAGCTTCTGTCTGAGGGGTCGGATGTTGAAGGCCTGAAAGACTTTCTTCTCCTCTCTCTCTGAACCCGACGCGTCTTCTGCAGAAACCTCAGTCTGCGGGAGGACAATATAAAGGAAAAAAAGGAAAAAAGACAAGATAAATGAGGACACTTTCACCACACATGACCAACAGCAGACTGAAAACAGACCCTAAAAACCTCTGTGATGAGTTACGTTAGAGATGGAGATTGGACTGACGTGGGCTGATACTCATATCTGATCTTTGTCATGTTCACGCCTGCTGTCTGTGGAAATCGGGGCTAAAGGGTGTTTCACACCCAGTTCTGCTTTAAATGAACCAAACTCAGTTCTGTTAAAGTGAACCAGCTGCAGACGACCTCAGTGCTTCCTGTGTTCTCAATGTAAGTGAACTTTAAAGAGGTTTTCTTTCGGTCCTCTTCTGCATTGATCAGATCTCAGATCAGAAGTGGGCTTCGCTCTGTTAAACTAGCCTTTCAGGTGACGAGAGGAACCACACGCTTAAAAAAGATGGTTCTTCAAGGGTTCTTTAGTAATGAAAATGGATCTACATAGAACCATGGACACTCAAAGAAGCCTTTCCATGATTAAAGGGTTCTTAGCATGGTGAAATGTTCTTCAGAATGATAGAGAATGTGCTGTAGATGGTTCTATACAGCACCAAAAAGGTTTTTTCTATTGTTACAAGCTTGACATCATCAACAGAAGAACCCTTTTCTAAAAGGTGCTATATAGAACCATACATTAATCTAACAAACCATTTCATGATGCAAAGAACTATTTAAGCATGCAAAGGGTTCTTTGAGTGTTCATGTGTCTATATAGCACCATTTTCTTGACTAAAGAACCCTCGAAGAACCATCTTTAGGAGTGTAATCTACATACTGCGTGTATACGATGTGTAGTATATACTGCGTATTGTCCAGAAAGACAAAAGAACTGGTATAAATAAAGTAATAAAATGTGATGATGTCATAACAACACGTCGCCCAATCAGCTCCTGTGTTACTACAGAGTTACCGTTGTTGTTTCCAGGCTGTATTTGGTGTAAATCTGTCTTTACTGTGATCCATGCAGGTGTTCGGTGTGCTAGTCATGGCACATGGGTGTCTGCTTGCTTTTGATTGGTCTAAACCATCTACAGGCAGTTCACCAGTTCTGTGTTATTGGGTTAAACACGCCTCATAAAAATGTGAAGACAGAACTGTTAACAAAATGAAGCATTCTTGAAAACTGCGCTGAGATCACAACTTCGATATAAAAACGATTAAAACCATCTTTAGCCATCACCACTCAGAGAAGAGTACCGTAACAAAATTTAACACAATAAAAATCAGGCATCGTGTCGCTCACCGCTCCCTCAGGCTGGGCGCCCTCTGTGCCCGCCGGCGGCGGTGTGCCCGCTCCAGCCTCCTCCTCCCTCTGTGGAGAGTCCTCGCTGGGCTTCAGGGCCTTCTTCTCCTCATTACGAATGGACTCCAGCTCAAGCTGGATCTGCTTGTACTTCAGCAGCAGGTCCTCGAAGCTCTCGTCCACTCCGTTCTCCGCTTTGCTGACCGTGTAGGCCGGTTTCCTCCCCATCGGCCGGCCGCCCTGCTTCTCTGGAGCTCCGAGTTAAGGCCTCGTCAGAGCTCACGGACTGTGCCTACATCATCACCGCCCCTCAGAACCTCGGCAGGAGAGGCCAACAGATACAGGTGACCTCAACTAAACTGTCACTGAGGTGGAACCTTCAGGGTAGAGCTGGGCAATCTGACGATACTCAGTGTTATTGTGATTGATTAGATCATGTTATATATCACGTAGTGGACGTCGTCAGTACTTCAACACTTCCTGACTGCATGTGTGACTATAAAGAGAGCATCATTAGTCCTGTTTAACAGTATCGGGCAGATCAGTGAGTGAAACGTTAAATAAAAATCATTGCATTCGTAGCGTTTACAGTATTTTTATGTGGTGCCAACTTCGGCTATACGACACCAGAAAAAAATGTGTATTATGATAAATCGTGTATCATGAAAACTTCTTAAAGTATTGTGATGTTACACTTTCGCCGTATCGCCCAGCTCTATCTCAGCACCTCCATTTACGGAGCACATTTCACTACAATTATGAATTTAAACAACTCCTCACCTGATCAGGTTGTTCTATTTTGACACATTAAGCTACAAAACGCTATAAATACACGCCTCTCCTGTGTAAATGTGACTGCAGCGAACCTTTAAACCTCATTTAAGATACGTAATCGGACATTAAGACCACTGTTGTATGTTTGAGGGTATATTTACATTGTTTGTACTGTCATAAACAAAACGGTCTCTGTGAGAACCCTTTATTCTGATTCTGATAAACAAAGGTTCTCCAGTAGAACAGTTTTAGCTCCTGCTGCGCCGCCGTCTAACAAAATGAACCCCAAACCTCACGACCTCCACAATTTAGAAGCTCCTAACAATAAAGGCTCGGCCACTGAGTGCGGGGTACCCAAAAATAAGCTCCGCCCACTTCACTCTGATAGGCTGCCTAGTTTTGATCACTAACAGGGGTTTCAGTGAGATGATAAATGAGACGCTCAGCTACTCACAGTTACTCAGTGCTGTGCTGAGATCAGCTCAGACGACACAAACACTCCAAAACTACCTGCGATAAAACTGTGTTACATAAACTTCCATCAGTAAGAACATTTTTCCTTCCCCATAATTCTATACAATAAGTGCAGGTGTGTACATATATGTATATATATATATGTGTGTGTGTGTGTGTGTGTATATTATATATAGATATATACACACACACACATATATATGAATATATCAAATTTTTTTCTTGATCAGGCTAACTACACAATCACGCCAGGTGACGTCTCTGGGGAAGATGCTGGAGCTCTCTGAGCTCCAGATGGTCAAAACTAGAAGCTTCCGCTGGTTTCCGCTCTCCTCTGTGAGCTGGAATCCCCCCGATCGCTCTCCGCTCACACCTGAGGAGACAGAGCTTCATCCCTCACCTACAGACAGCAGGCCTGAGCTTAACCTGAACTTCCTTATAAACTCACAACAGCTCAGAGCTGCAGAAACGCGATGAATCATAAAACCATCTGTGACTAATGACCCAGTAAACACTGCGACAGAGAGAGAGAGAGAGAGAGACAGGGAGAGACAGACAGAGAGGGAGAGAGACAGACAGACAGACAGACAGAGAGAGACAGACAGAGAGACAGACAGAGAGACAGACAGACAGAGACGACGTTTTAGTTTTTAACATATTTACAGGCCACTTTATTAGAAACACCCACCTCACACTAAGTGGCCACTTTTTTTTTAGAAACACCTATCTTGTGTTTACACTACGCGGCCACTTTATTAGAAACACCCTGCGCTTCCAGTTGAAATACTGCATTGTGTGTGATTATTAAATCCCATATTTCATTCGAGTGTTAAATAAACCCAACCAACACACTAAAATCACACTTTTCACCGCGTTTTATATGATATTCCCTCTAAATCTCTCCTGCAGGGAGTGTTTCCGATAAAGTGGCCAGTCGTTCAGCAGATCAATCACAGGAATATACAGGACTAAACGCTCATTAACCGGCTCGGGGTTAACCGGACCGCGCAGACAGCCGGGCCGTTATTTTCAGGATACTCCGGTTGGGAGAGTCTCTCCGGCTGTGCTGGATCAGCTCCGCGGGGTTGTAGCGGCCCGGATGCGGCCTGCCAGCCCCTCGGTTCCCCCTGCCTCCTCCGCGGTACCGCAGCCGGCCCAGCGCTCCGTGACTGCGCTCCCAGAAGCTGGATCTTGGGCTCGGTTCCCCGGTCGGTCCCGGAGCCCGGAGACCCGGCCGGAAGTGCGCTGTGCTCGAGCGGACCTGAGGCCTGCGCTGCGTCTCCTGCGGCTCATCGTCGCAGATCTCCCCGTCCTCCAGCTCGCCCTCCTCCCGCGGAGACGCGGAGCCCGGCCCCGCCGCCATGCGAAGCCCGAACGCTGGGGTTTAATACGCAGTGTTAACGCGGAGATTACCGGACCGAACCGGAGCTCCTCCGACCCGCAGCCGAAACACCGACCAAGGCTAACTCACTCACTCGGTGACTCTCGCGAGACTTCCTGTTCCCGTGCGTCTCATTGGAATTCTCCGTTCCACCTTAAATGATGCAGCAGTTACATTCTGGCGCTGCAGACATTTAAGGTGGAACGGAGAATTACAAAAAAGCTGGAGAATGATTTACTCAAATTATTAATTTTTAATAATAATAAACGGTTATATTCTACACTTTAACTTCATTCAATAATTTTAATCTAATTTATTTAATAAAAAACATTTTTATTGATGTTACAAATAATTAAATCTTTTAAACCGAGTCAGACTGAGACGTTAGTGCCAAGGATTCCTAAAGGGATAAAAGCACAGATTAATCAGCACCTGTCAGAAACCGGTACCATAAATTATCCTCATTTTTATATCGAGGTTTTACATTTTTATTTATATTTTTAATTTATTTTAGGGCTTTTATCCCGTTGTTTACCGCGCTGACTCGCTCTCTCACCGCCCCCTGCCGGACGCAGAGGGAAGCGCGAGGAAGCGGCGGCGGAGTTTGTGCAGAAACGGAGAAGTTAAAGTGAGATTTTGGGGAAGCTCGCGCGGGTCCGATTCTTCAGCCTCACAGTCGGAGTCACTTTCACCGCCAGCAGGACAGAGCTGGGCAGACAAAGAGCGCGGAGCTCCGGTTTCGGCCTCAGCGCTGAACTTCGACATGGCGTCCGCGGGACGCAGATCCTTCAGCTTTAAGGTGGTCATGCTGGGTGAGGGCTGTGTGGGCAAAACATCGGTCATCCTGAGATACTGCGAGAACAAGTTCTACAGTAAACACATCACAACCCTGCAGGTGAGGGAGGACAGCAGGCCGGCTCACTGTATACACCTTTATTTATACACCTTTATTTATATACCTTTATTTATACACCTTTTATTTATATACCTTTATTTATACACTTATAATATTTATATACTATCAGCTCTATTTATACACCTTTATTTATATACCTTTATTTATACAGTTTTATTTATATACCTTTATTTATACAGTTTTATTTATATACCTTAATTTATACACCTTTATTTATATACCTTTATTTATACACTTATAATATTTATATACTATCAGCTCTATTTATACACCTTTATTTATATACCTTTATTTATACAGCTTTATTTATATACCTTAATTTATACACCTTTATTTATATACCTTTATTTATACACTTATAATATTTATATACTATCAGCTCTATTTATACACCTTTATTTATATACCTTTATTTATACACCTTTATTTATATACCTTTATTTATACAGCTTTATTTATATACCTTAATTTATACACCTTTATTTATATACCTTTATTTATATACCTTTATTTATACACCTTTATTTATAGACCTTTATTTATACACCTTTATTTATACACCTTTATTTATATACCTCCATTTATACACCCTTATTAATACAGCTCTATTTATATGCCTTTATTTATACAGCTTTATTTATATACCTTTATTTATACACCTTTATTTATATACCTCTATTTATACATTATTATGCTGCTATACATCTGTACATCGTTATATGCTATTATATTTGTTTATATTTCATGTTATTATATATTTATAATGTATTTTACTTTATTACCCACCTTTATTATACATCGTCATCTCTTCCTCTAGTAGTTGTGCAGCACTGACACTGTCACTGTACCTCACAGTGAGACAGTGTAACGGTGCTGATTTGGAGATCCAGTAGATCCTTCACTGCAGTAACGATGCAGCCTTTAGTTTACGCTGCTGTTGTTAAAGGGGAACTCCATAAACTTTTAAAAATTGTCTGCGTAGTTAAACAGTTAAGATGTAATCAGAGCCGTTCAGAGTGGTTTGGTGTGAAACGCTCTGTTCTAGATAAACTTACCGAGTCAGAACTGTTCACAGTGGTGGTGATAGGAACCAGACGTCCACCTTATATTAAGTGTTATTTATGGTGTATATTAAGCGTATAGTAATATATATTACGTGTGTAGTTACATTGTTTATTAAGTGTATAGTAATATATATTAAGTGTGTAGTTACATTGTTTATTAAGTGTATAGTAATATATATTAAGTGTGTAGTTACATTGTTTATTAAGTGTATAGTAATATATATTAAGTGTGTAGTTATATTGGTTATTAAGTGTATAGTAATATATATTAAGTGTGTAGTTACTGTTTATAGTGTATGTATATTACAGTGTATAGTAATATATATTAAGTGTGTAGTTATATTGGTTATTAAGTGTATAGTAATATATATTAAGTGTGTAGTTACATTGTTTATTAAGTGTATAGTAATATATATTAAGTGTGTAGTTATATTGTATATAGTGGGTGTTTCTGTTATTGTGTCACCTTCATTTCCAATCTCAGGCTTCATTCTTCACCAAGAAGTTGAACATCGCCGGGAACAGGGTCACTCTGTCCATTTGGGTGAGTCCACATCCACATACACTCGTGTG